CAGTCTCTCTCTCTCTCTCTCTCTCTCTCTCTCTCTCTCTCTCTCTCTCTCTCTCTCTCCCCCCCCCTCTCCCTCTCTCTCCCCCTCCCCCCCACACACACACACACACACACACACACACACACGGGCATATATCCCAGGAGCTCTGGAAGTCAGGGAGAAATGATGCAGACATTCAAGACTTCTGTCTGTCTGTCTGTCCATTCCTGGACCTGCTGAAAGAACTCTGTTGGTCAGTTTTCAGGCTGTCCCTTAGTGAAAAACACTAGGAATGACTTCACCTCTCAAACCAACTGCTTCACATGATTTAGGGCCACCCTGTCCCTCAGAGTGAGCAGCAAATGCCCTGGAGCTGGCCCTGCTGAGGAGTCCCAGAGGCTGAGGCCACTGGATGACAGACGTGGTCAGGTCCCCCTCAGTGTTCTCCATGGCATCTCACATGGGGTCACTCTCCCTCATGGCTGCTCACAGATGCCCCTGGCCCCAGGACTCTACCAGAGCACCATGGCTCTGTCCCCTCTTGACTTACCAGGTAGCAGCTGGACTCAGAACTCGAGTGAAGAGGGTCAGGGGAGAGAGTCACCAAGTCCTCGGAGGTTCTCAACCCCTTCTCTTTGGGCTCCCTCATCCCTCAGTGCTAGGCCTGAAGGCCTGATCCTATCTTCTCAGCTCTAGAATTTGACTCACTGCCCCAGCAACCTGTGGCCACCTCTGCCGGTTCCCCACTCCATTTGTATGTCTTAAACCTAAGTTCTTCGGCTCTAGCCCTCTGTCTGGCTTCTGTGCCCTTTCCAGGTCAGTGAGTCAGCTAAGCCACCCATCACAGCTGGCCTTGCCTACAACCTGTGGCCCACCTCATCCCACTGCCCTGCCCCAAGGACCCAGGCTACACTAGGCGCTGCTTGTCTTGCCCACAGCCCCCGGTGGATACTTTGGCCCTCCTCTTGCCTTTCAGTCCACCCTGCTGACTTCAGTCTTTCTGCCCAGGACAACTTCTGCATCCAGGTGTCCAGTTTGAGAAGCCAATTGAGCACAGCAAAGAGTGAACATGCCCACATCCAGAGCCATGTGGAACAGCTACAGAGGGCCCTAGCAGATGCAGAAGAAGGTGAGTCCTTCCTTCCCATGAGGGAGCCCTTCCATGTCCCTTCCCTACCCGCTTTGAGTGTGTAGCCTCAGGGTAGCTCCCCATGGAGCGGTGCCCAATCCCCAGGCTGGCTCAGTTGTCACCCTTCCCTGTGGTGGCTTCCCTTACAAGGGTGGAGTCCAGAGACCTCTAGGCCTGAACAGTCCCGCCCAGCCCCAGCCTCTAGAAGTTACCCCCTCAGGCAACTGCAGTTTCGGCCTTTGCCTGGCCTCCTCCCTCCCAGACAGCCACAGTCCTCCCCTTATCACCTCCACAAAGAGGCCCCTTGCTTGGCTCTTACCCAACCACATTAAACTTACTCCCCCCAGTTAAAGGGGCAGCCCAGGGGTGTGTCCCAGGGCCTAGGAAGGAATGATGACAGAGATGGAGAGGAGGGCCCTGGTGCCTAGATATACCCCCTGAGATGGGGAGCCTCTCCCTTCCCTGGACCCAGGCGACACCTGCCTCAGCTAACTGAGTCTATTCAGAGCCTATGAGCTGGAAAGGAGGGGCAGTCCCAGGTAGCAGCAACCCAGCTTGATCTCCCAGCTTGGGAGCCTCAAGCCACACTGTTTCCGTACAGGCCAACACAGGGCAGAGAGTGCACTGCACAGCGCCCAGGCAGCTCAGGCCCTGCAGAAGGAAGCTCTCCAAAGACTGGAAGCAGAGCACCTGAGGAGTACAAGGACTGCAGGCCAGGAGAAGCGGAGGCTGCAGGTGGGGCTGCTGGGAAGTTGCCACAGGGCAGGCAGGTAAGGGGTGGAACTAGTGGGTACAACAGGATCTCTGTAGGCCTGGGACACAGGCTGGGCTGCAGCAGGCAAACTAGGTGGTCATCAGAACAACATGAGCCTTGGTGATCCTAGACCTTCTTTTACAAATTGGGGAAACTGAGGTCTGGCTGTGGGAACAGAGTGGCAAAGGAGCAGAGCTGGGGCTAGACTCTAGCCTCCTAGGTCCATTCTTCTGACAGAGGCCACACCAGCAGGCCTGGGAGGCCCTGCCTAGCTCTGGGCTCCTCCTAGAGCATTGCTGTTGCTCCAAGCCAGTTTTTCATTCTGTATCATTCATACACAGAAGGGTTTGTGTGGGAGTCCCTATGCTGCGTGCTATGCTGTGGAGCTGCCACTAGGGCTGCAATTTCAGATGAGGACCTGGGGCCCAGAGAGCCTACAGAGGGAACAGTCAGGCTTGGGGGACAGGGTCTGGCCCCAACCTCTGCTGTCTCAGGAAGGGACCCCACCACAGGACACAATTGTGAGTAATAAAAGGAGTGCTGAGCTCCTCGGGCAGCGGCAGGGCTCAGGAGGACAGACAAGGTCTTCCCAGATGTTCCAGGTGGGCTCAGAGGTGTGCTGTGGGAAGAGCATGCCCAGGTGGAAGGCTACCCCCAGATACCAGGAAACCAGGGTTTCCTGGATTCATTGCTGGAAGGATGTAGTTGGTAGCTGTGGGTGGGCATGGGGTGGTATGGTACAAGCTACAGGTTACCATCCCCAGGGGTCACTCCAAAGCAGAGCTGCAGGTAAATGACGGTTTTCAGAAGCAGTGGGCCAGGCAAGGCCCACCGGATCCCATGGGCTTCCATTCAGGCTTCAGTCACAGAGGCAACTACAGTAGCCAAGCAGGGGCCTTCCACCCACCCAGGCCTTCACTCACGCTCTCTGTGCAGGGCTCAGCTTGGGAGCCCAGTGGCTCCGAGGCCTTCTGTACACATCAGGCAGATGAGCAGGGGTCCCAGCCTCTGGGGAGGGGCCTCCTGCAGAGGAAGGGAAGGCAGAGGACAGAGGCCACAGTGCCTCAGGAGCAGTTTCCTCATCTGCAGGAGGTTAGTGAGAGGAAAGCGAGTTTCAAAACCCTCTGAGCACAGCAGCTGGAGGGCAACAGGGTAGCATGGAAGGGCTCAAATGGCTGCTTGAATGGGGACTTTGACAGTACTCAGGCGACAGGGGGTGGGGATAGGATCTGAGATGTCAGAGGTGGCAGGCTGGGCTAGGTGGAGTTCCATTTTACATATGTGTGTGTGTGTGTGTGTGTGTGTGTGTGTGTGTGTGTGTGTGTGTGTGTGTGTGTGTGTGTGTGTGTGTGTGTGTGTGTGAGTGTGTGTTCTGTGAGTACAACTAAAAATAGCTTATCACTTGTAGGCTATGCGATTTGAAATGGACTTTCTAAGTCCACCTTTACAAATGCAGGATTGAAACAGAACCCATTTGCTGACTCTCCTGGCTTCATCAGGCTCTGCCCCGCTCAGCGGCTGCATTTTAGCTCTTAACGTTTCCATTTATTTCACCTGCGTGGCTTTGGTTTCGATTCCCCTTAGAGCCTTTGCCTTTTCTGGAGTATTTACTCCACTGAGAAGCGCCATGATGGATGTGGTATGGCTTCTCCTCTTACTGTGTCCATGCGGCTTCACTGGGCTCTCTTGAACTTAGGTTTGCCTGTCCACCAGAGGAGGTGCCTTCTTCCTTCTCCCCACACCAGCTCTCAGGCCTCCTTTTTGGGGGTCAGATTACAGCCTTCCTGGAGCATTTTCTCTAACTCAGAGTTCAGGGTGCCTGTGCTGATCTTCCCACTGCTGGGCTAGGTCTACTTCCTGTGACCCCGAGGGGGTCTTTGTCTTTTCTCTTCCTGGCTGTTTCTGCCCTGGGGGCTGAAGATCTGTTCCTGGAAGAACCTTATCCAGACCAACTGCGGAGAGGCTGCCCCTCACCATAGCCCCTCCTTGTGCAGTGGGTTTCCACATCCCTTCCTGCCACAGACCCAGGCTCTCTACCCTCTGTGGCCTGCACTTAGCCAAGAGCTTCCCATGGCTGTGCAGATTGTGACCACAAACTGATGACCTAAGCCTCTCTTATACATGCAGCCTATTCTCAGGGACTGGCACAGAAGGCCCCTCCTGGAGAGAACTGGCAATGTCCTCACCCAAGGCCCTGTGGAAGTCCCCTGGCTTACCAGGGGTTGGTAGAGTTCAGCTTCTTGCCATTCTAGGACTGAAGTTCTACTTGCCATACGCCAAGTGCCACTTAGCTTCTAGGGGTGGCTCAGGCCCTCACCCATGGGCCCTCTGGGGCTGTCTCACAGAAGGACAATGGCAGCTGGTCATCTCAAGATAGTCTCTGTTCCCCTCCCACCACAGCTTAAAGTTCTCGTGTGGCTATATGGGGAAGCCTGGGTTTGGTTAACCCACCAACAGATCAGTAGTCTTAACATCCCCCACACCTTATCTGTGCTACCTAACATGATCTCAGCACAGCACTAGGGTAACCTGGTGGGGCGGGGGGCAGGGGGTTGTAGACCTGCCTGGCATGTAACTACAACAGCATAAGGCATTCCAGCCTATACCCTTACACCACTGGTGAAGAAAACACAGGGTGTCCCCTTTTCCCCTGGAGGGGCCTGCTTTCTCTTAGATTTCAGTCCCCTCGTTACCCTCTGACCCTCATCTCAGATGCATTCAAGAAACATGATGATTCTGTGCATTTTGGGGGGTTCTGTCGAGGGTGGAGGCCAGAAGGTCCATTTGCCTTTGAAATTCAAAACTGTTTCCAAGTCTGGGTATGGTGGTGTGTACTCAGGAGGAAGAAATAGGAGGGCTGCCACACGTTCAAGGCCAGCCAGCCTGCTTTACATAGCAAGTTCCAAATCAGCTAGGATTATGTGAGAACCTAGAGAGACAGCGAGAGAGAGAGAGAGAGAGAGAGAGAGAGAGAGAGAGAGAGAACAAGGTGTTGAAGTAAACAGACTTCAATAGAACCCGTGGAAGAGGGATATCTGTAAGTCTGTTCAGGTCATATGTTACATGTGAATCATGGTGCCAGGCTTGACAGTTGGGCAGATGTCAGAAGAGAACACTTCAGGTTAAGGATCTTCACAATCAGTAGAGCGCTTTGCGACCTGGCTTCCTTTCATATAAAAAAGATAGAAGTATGTGAGAAAAAAGAGAGAGAGAGAGAGAGAGAGAGAGAGAGAGAGAGAGAGAGAGAGAGAGAGAGAGAGAGGAGAGAGAGAGGAAGAATAAGAGGAGGAAGAGGAGGCGGAGGAGGAGGAGGAAAAGAGGAAGAGGAGGCGGGGGAGGAGGAGGAGAAAAAGTTGCCAAAATGCTGCCTTGCTGAGGCTCCTCCCATCACCTGTCTGCCCTTGGTAGCCAGCTCTGCTAGTTGAATCATGGCTACCTTCCTAAATTACAGCTCTTCCGACTTTAAAAAACATCTTCTCACAGGTCTGCAATCCCACCCACTCCAGAGGCTGCTGCAGGAAGACCTAGGCCCTGAGGGGCATAGCTGCCCACCTCTATCCTCAGCCATGGAGCCAGCTTCCCTGGGCCCTGAGGGTTCTCTCCACCAAGCTGCAGAGAGTAACTCTAGGGATCTCTCCACTGTCCATAGTCACTTCATCTTTTTTTTCTTATAATTCTAGCAAAGTGCCATTTTTCCTATCTTCCCTTGGAGATCCCTTGGGTCCCTGGTCTGTAGCTCTGAGAAGGGCTTCCCCCAGCTCTTGTGACCTGTTGAGTCTCTGTGAGCATTTAGGAGAGCTTGGATGCATAATGTCACCCCCTCATAAGAGCCCCCCCCCCACTTTTGACAAACAGTAAATCCATCAGAAAGGCTCAGTGTTTCTGGCTAGCTGGGAGCCTGGGGACATAGTCACTGGTTTGGCTTCACAGTGCCCCTCGCCACAGCTGGATAGCTGCCGATCCCTGCAGGGCTGGCCTGGTGCCCTTCCAGACTCTGCCAAACCTAGGGCATGTTCCAGAGCAAGCTCTGCATTTTACACAACCTCTTTCACTTTCTTTAAAAAAAATTATGGAACACTTCATGAATTTGCGTGTCATCCTTGCACAGGGGCCATGCTAATCTCTGTATCATTCCAATTTTAGTGTATGTGCTGTTGAACCAAGCACACAACCTCTTTCACTTTCACAAACAGATTTTTCCCCCCATCGGTTCACATAAGCCAATGTGTTTGTCAAGAAAAACGTTAATTAAAAACATATTTTTCTAATTAAATTGTAGGCTGTGCTATGCAAACACTACAACTCTTGTTTGAGAGCAAATCCTTCCCGTTGCCAGGGCTACCCCAGGACCCAGCAGAACAACAGCACACACAGGGCCACTTCAGAGCCCAACAGAACAACAGGGCACACAGGGTCACTCCAGTACCCAACAGGGCACACAGGGTCACTCCGGTACCCAACAGAACAACAGGGCACACAGGCTGCCCTGGGACCCAGAACATCAAGATGCTCAGAGATACCCACAGGAACCTAGTAGAATGTGCTCAGGGTTACCCTGGGGCCCAGAAGTACAAAGCACACAGGGTTGCCCCTGAGGAACCAGCAGAAAACTGGAGCACAAAGGCTACTTAGAAAACCCAGCAGAACAACAGGGCACACAGGACTACCCTGGGACCAGCAGAACGACAGGTCACGCAGGACTACCCCAGGGACCCAGCAGAACGACAGGGCACGCAGGACTACCCTGGGACCCAGCAGAACAACAGGGCACACGGGACTACCCCAGGGACCAGCAGAACAACAGGGCACACAGGACTACCCTGGGACCAGCAGAACAACAGGGCACACAGGACTACCCTGGGACCAGCAGAACAACAGGGCACACAGGACTACCCTGGGACCAGCAGAACGACAGGGCACACAGGACTACCCTGGGACCCCAGCAGAACGACAGGGCACACAGGACTACCCTGGGACCCAGCAGAACGACAGGTCACGCAGGACTACCCTGGGACCAGCAGAACAACAGGGCACACAGGACCACCCCAGGACCCAGCAGAACGACAGGGCACGCAGGACTACCCTGGGACCAGCAGAACGACAGGGCACACAGGACTACCCCAGGGACCCAGCAGAACGACAGGGCACACAGGACCACCCTGGGACCAGCAGAACGACAGGTCACGCAGGACTACCCTGGGACCAGCAGAACGACAGGGCACACAGGACTACCCTGGGACCCAGCAGAACGACAGGGCACGCAGGACTACCCTGGGACCAGCAGAACGACAGGGCACACAGGACTACCCCAGGGACCCAGCAGAACGACAGGGCACACAGGACCACCCTGGGACCAGCAGAACGACAGGTCACGCAGGACTACCCTGGGACCAGCAGAACGACAGGGCACACAGGACTACCCTGGGACCCAGCAGAACGACAGGTCACGCAGGACTACCCTGGGACCAGCAGAACAACAGGGCACACAGGACCACCCCAGGACCTAGCCAAATGACCATGTGTATATAGCCACATTCACAGGACTGGGGGGATATAGTACCAGGGCATGTGCAGCTTACCCAGGCTTTCAAGCAAAGGAGTAGGCTGGGCAACCAGCCAAGAACTCACTCACACACAGACACACAGACACACATACACAGACACACACACACACACACACACACATACCCTCACACCCTAGTGAAGAAGCCACTAATGTTCTCTATGAACTGGCACACCAGGTCACAGCCCACTGCCTGAAGAGTTCTTGGACTCCTGCCTAGGCCTCCCCTGCTCCACTGGCTCTGAATACCCCCAGTGCTTTCCCTCCTGCCAGCCTGAGGAAGCCTCAGGCCCAAATTCTGGAAGCAAAGTCTGGGTGCACCTGGCCTATGGAGGCACACATTTGCTGGGGCCCACACTATGGACATGATGCCATAGTTGAAGTTGGTAACTCACATGGTTGTCACATGTTTGCAGCTGTAATTCTTTTATTAATGATATAGTTTTCAGATTCATTTGTACTAAGAATATATCACGTATAAAACGAATTGTTTCTGGGCATGGTGGCACATGCCTTTGATCTTAGCACTTAGGAGGCAGAAGCAGGCGGATCTCTGTGAGTTTGAGACCATCCTGGTTTATGTAGTGAGTTCCAAGCCAACTGGGGCTACAGGGAGACCCTGTCTTCATAAAGACCGAAAATAAATAATTAGTTAAAATGAATTGTTGAGCTTTCTGGCTTTATCACCTGGATGATTACAATTGCACAGGAATTAGTTTTCCTTGAAAGCCCTGTGTGCTGACTCTTCCCATCCCTGGCCGATCTGTCTGTCCAGTCAGTCCGTCGCGTGGGAGTTAGGCATCACCGAGGACTTACATATGCATCTGTCAACACCATAGCCGCACTTGTCTTACACATGTATGCAAATGCACTACACAAGTGCTGGTGTGCCAACAGCTTACTGGGTGGTGGTGTGTCACCTGTCACTGCCCACAGTGTGGCAGGCTTGGTTTGCTCTTAATCTGCCTTGCCTAAAGTCTATCCATCTTTTCAAATAATCAACTTTTATCCCTCTCATGTTTGTCTAGTCTGTTCATTTCAGCTCTTCTCTCTATGAACACCTTCTTTTTCTTGTCTTTTTGTTGTAATTTCTTAAGTGGAATAAGTTTTCTTTTTCTCTTTCAGTTTTCCCTAGCTGTGACTTGATATGGGTCCTGTAGGAATTGTTTTTTTGTTTTGCTTTGTTTTTTATCAGACAGGGTCCTCAGGTAGCCCAGGCTGATCTTGAACTCACTATATATCTAAGACTGACCTTGAACTTTAATCCTTCTGCTTCTACCTCCCAAGTGCTATTATTACAGGGATGCACTAGCATTCCTGGTTTACGTGGTGCGAGAGATCGAACCCAGGGTTTCATCCATGCTAGACAAGTGGTCCACCAACTGAGCTACAGCCCCAGGCCTCCTGCAGGTTTTCTATACAAATTTTCTCCCTTGCTTCCAGTTCCCCGGGTTTCATTTGTCATTTTTTGTTGTCGTGCGCCGTCGTGTGCAGGCTTCCTGGAGAGGTTGGGCCCTGGCACTGTGGATGACCTGCTTGGGTCAGCTTCATGTAGGTCTTTGTTTCCGTCTTTGGCTTGTCAGTTGCTTGTTGGCTGGGTGCTTGTGGTTTGGTTTTGTCTATTTGTCTGTGGTGTGTTCAGAGGAAACAGAGACATGCAGGCCACAGTTTACAGGGAAGATAAATGTTTGGGATGTTCCAACAAAATTTTGAAGGCGCATAGTAATGCTGCTTTGGCCAGCATGATCAGAAAGGAGGGCTGGCACAGGGTGGACAAAGGCAAGCGGACAGGCAGAGTCCAGAGTGGCCTAGTTCACCATGAACTGGCACCAGACCCTGAGCCCCCTTGTAGGTGACAGAATCCACTGTATCCAGTGAGGACTTCAAGCCCCTGCTTCTGAGGGCTTCCAGAGCCAGCTCTGTTCTGTGGTTGGCCAAAAGGGAGGCCAGGCACTAGTCTATGCAGAGGACACTTCCTAGTAAGCCAGTGACGAGAAAACACAGTGGGAGGTGAGGACTGGGGAGATGGCTCCATTGACAAAGTGCCTGCTGTGCAAGCATGGGGACCGGCGTTCAGATCCCCAGCACCCATGTAAAAGCCAAGTGTAACAGTGTGTCTGTAACCCCAGTGCTGGGAGTCGGGGAGAGAAAGGCAGATCCCTGGAGCTCACGGGCTGGCCAGCCTAGTGGAATCAATGAGTTCCTGGTTTAGTGTGAGATCCTGTCTCAAAAAACAAGGTGAGAATAATCAAAAAAGATATCTGACCTTGACCTCTGGTCTCCACATGCACAGGCATGTGCACAAGCCCACATGAACACACACACACACACACACACACACACACACACACACACAAATAAAAGGCATTAGGATAAGGACCTGAACCCCAGGGACCAAGGAGCAGGTTTGGGGTATTGGTGCCTGTTCTGCTCTCCTTCATGGAGTCAAAGGGCATTCAAGGGACCCTTCATTCTCCCTGCTGGTCTGTCAACCACTCACCAGTGCACAGCTGTCCTGCGCCTTGACTCACATTTCCAGGTGGCCCTGTGTCCTTCTCCCCCTAGGAACAACTGGACGCTCTGCGCCAGGCCCTGGGGAAGAGCAGCAGGCACCGCCAGGGTCTTGACAAGAAGGGCAGGCTGCTGGAGCCCATGAGGCAGGTGAGGGACCCCAGGAGGAGGGCACGTTACACAGCCACCAGGAGGCGGCGAACCAGCTCACCAGAGCAAAACCTCACATTCATTTACTTGAGCAGTGTTTCAGTATTGAAGCCTAAGCAGGTGCAGGAGGACGGTGTGCGAACGGACGGTTACCCAGACATCATGCCTTTTCCAGATGATAGACGGGGAAACTGAGGCTGGAGGGAGGCCCCAGGGAGTCAGGGCTGGTCTTCTTGCTCCGCTGTAGGCACCTTTAGAACGAGGGGTTATTTGTAGGCACACAATTTAGCTAAGCCCAAGACCAGCCTCAGACAGGATGCCTGGCTTTGAGAGGCCCAGGACTCCGCCATCCCGGGTGCACACCCACACATCCCTCTCCCTACCCAGGCGCTTCGGTCCAGTCGCAGGGAGGAGGAGACCGTCGAGACGCACACGCAAGAGAGGCGAGGCCTGCGGGAGCAGACGGCAACACTGCGCGGTGAGCGGGCCCGCCTGCAGGGGGAGCTCGCTGCACTGCGCACACGCCTCACGCAGGTACCGCCCGAGGCAGTGTTGCTGGAGGTGTGCGGGAAGGCTGCTGGGACGTGCGGAGGGAGGTCCGCTGGGAAGTCGGAGAGGGGAGAGGAGAGTGTTGGTGCAACGGCTTCACTGTCTGCACCTGAGGTGGCAATGGCCCCAAACTCAGCCGGCCTCAGAGCTCTGCGCACCTTGACGAGGCCTCCGGTGGCATCATCTACCACCCTACCTTGTCTGGCTTTGGGAAGGCGAGGCACCGTGGGTCATGGCACATCCCCTGACTTTGTGATCAGCTCTGTCCACACACCACCCACTTCCTGGGCCTCTGGGTCCTGTTCATGGGAGAAACAGCCCCTGACTGTCATGGGCAGCAGGTAGGATGACCAGTATAGTGTTGTGTAGGCCTCACTCCACGCTCCAGAGCGTGGCCCCTCTCAGCAATCTCAGGGACGGTAACCAGTGAGCTACTGTAGGGCAGAGCAGACAGACTACACGATGAGATCAGACATTGTGCTGTTAAGGGCGGGGCCTGGTCATTGCTCAGCACAGGTCAGGGTGGAAGACAGGATCCCTGCGGCCTCGTGGATGGTTCCTTGTCCACTAATACTTCAGAAAAATAGGAGGGTCTCAGGACACAGCCCAAGCTGGTCTTGCAGTGCTCTGAGCCAGGCCACAGCCACAGAGCCGCCCTCACTGCCTCTCCGGGGATGGAAGAGACACAAAGCAGGGACTCTAGAGAGGTGGTAAGAGGGTTGATGGCACATGGAGAGAAGAAAAAAGAATCTGCCAGGCCTGCCGTCTGGCATCAGCCACCTGATGCTTTGGGACTTTGTGTCTCCACCCTGCAAAGCAAGGAAGCAGGAGTGTTTGTGCTGAAATTTTGAGGGCCTCAGGCAGAGCCCCAAGATAGGCTGCCCTTCCAAGGCTTCTCTACTGCCACCACCCAACCTGCCCAAGGTATGGGGGCCAGCAGGCTAGAACAGTCACTAAATCTACCAACCAGCTTGTCCACAAAGGATGCCTGTCCTCCCACGAAGGGAAAGTGGGTGTGCAGTCACCAGGATCTTGCTGCTGTTGCTGGAGGGAGAGATGTATTCTCTCCGGCCTGAGCAGGGGTTGGGGGTTACACTTTCCTGGATGCTGCTGGGTCAGGGGAGGTAGTAGTGCCTGGGGGACAACAGAGCAAGCTATGGGCACGGTGCCAGCCTTGGGTCCTTGGGGCCTAGAAGGGGGAGGGCAGGAACAGCTAATGAGTTCCAGGAGGTCAGCTGTGAGGGGCCCACAAACCCATAAACCCTTTATTGGTGTCTCAGGAGGGGAAACCCGGATGTGAACATTTATTTATTTTGGATTTCACTTTTCTCTTCTTTTTATAACATGAGCGTCCAGCAGTATAACTGGATTTTTAAAGAAACAGAGTTCCTTTCCTACTAGAAGGGACTCTGTTTTCCTCAGTCCTGAAGAAGAAAAGAGTCCTCAGGCCCTGACCCTATAACTTTGCCATGCAAACAACCGGCCATCTCCCAAAGGCCCTGAGAGTCCTACATGGGCTCCAGATCCCAGATGGCAAAGTCAGGTCTGTCCAGCACTGAAGGGGGAGCTGTATGGCACTTCATAAGACCCCATCAGGCAAGCAGCAGGCAGGGACAGCAGGGGACATGGAGGCCACCTGACTGGAGAGCAAGACCTGGTTCCAGTCCTGCCTTAGTGCTGGCCAGCCTGGTAAAGCTGAAGCCGGGAGCCTGTCAGTTTTAGAAATCATCATGAGGATGAGAAGGCTCCCTGTATTGTCAGGTGGGCCTCTACTGCTCTCTGAGGGATAGGATTCCAGTCTCTGTCCTCCAGAGTCCATCTACAGGGCAAAGGGACCTCAATCTTAACATGGAAAATGATTACATCAAATCTAACCTACAGCCTGATCTTCCTGTCCTGCACACACCTTGGTGGGGGTAGGACACTAAGAGGGCTCTGCCCTAGATGGATGACAAGGACAGCTTGTCATTGCCACAGGTTTGTTGGAGCTGTATCAACCACTGTACCCAGCTCCAGGCTGTGGGTATGCAAGGACAGAAGGTCCTGTGCATTGCAGAAGGCCATGGGGGTATGCAGGGCTCAGGAAGCTTGGAGGAGCCCAGGAAGGGGTAGGGACATGGACTTTAGGGTACTACCCTAGGAGGAGAGTCCCTTGCCAAGGGACTTCTGCTGGTCCAGATCAGGGAAGACTCTTAGTCTCTTGTTAAATTCCTACTCTGGCTGCAGAGGCCCGTGGGCCTGGGCAGGGGGCAGTACCCTTGTACATTCAGCCAACTCTCAGGGGATTCAGAGTCCATCCCAGAAATACCCTTTGCTCCCCAGAGGAAGGCTGGCCTGATACTGCATCCCACCACAGGTCTACTCCTCCCCCCAACCCCACTCTGACCCATAGGCAGAGCAGGAGACACTGAGAAAGGAGGAGGATGCAGCAATTCTGGGGGCCGAGAAGGAACTGCTTCACAAATCCGTGAGCAGCCTGCACCAGGAGGTTGACGGGGCGCTGCGGCAGAGCCGGCAGTTGCAGGTAAGCTTAGCCAGTGAAGTTCTGTGCTCTGTGAACTTGGAGGTGAACCTGGGGCAGGTTCAGAAGGTGTGGTCCCCACAGGGTGGGACCATACATGCATGTGAATGCCATGTGTGCGTACGCACATATAGGAAGGGCAGCTGGACAGGCCATTGTCCATGAGAGGGTGCTGAGACAAGACCCAGACAACAGTGGGGTCCCCTCGGGTCCAGAGAGAGAGCTGGAGTCAGAACTGAGGGCAGTCCCTTAGGAGTGTGTAGCCCTTGTGAGACAAGTCTGGCTCTGCAGAGCAAAGGACAGGGGGTCAAACAGGTCTGGAGGGCAGGGCTACACATGTCCTGTAGGCCCAAGGCCTACACCCCACCCTGTGGGGACCACACCTGTGGTCCTCTGAGGCTTCAATCTCCTCTTCCATTAACCAACACCCATCCCAGTCAGCTAACCATCAGTATTCAGTGATCTCAAAGGGAGTCTCCAGCCTGATCAAAGGGAATCTGACATGTTGTTCACACAGATTTAAGGCCTATTCCAGGGGCCTGCAGTTTGGGTTCCAGCCCAACAAAGCCCTGAGCAGATGGTCTGAACCCCAGACCTGTGGGCTATGTGTACCAGCTCCAGGTCTGCTGCTGGACCTAGGCCAGGGACAGTACCCCATCAGAAGGCAGTATGACCAAACAGAAACCGTGGCCCCCAGGGTAGGGTGAGGCACCCCACTGGACCTGGCCCTAGGATTGCAGAAGCCACAGATGCTGTGTTCTCACTCCAGGCTCAGATGGCAGAGCTGGAGCAGGCCCATGCCCAGCGGCTCCGAGAGCTCGCTGCCCAGCACCAGCAGGACCTGACTGCAGAGGCTGAGAGACTCCGAGAGGCCCAGCTGAAGGCCACACAGGCCCTGGAGTCCCGAGAGCAGGCCCACCAGCAAAGGGTGAAGGTGCTGGAGAAGCAGGTAGGGCTAGCAGCCCTGGTCTCCTGGGAAAGACTGCACAAAGGGAAAGAATGCCCCTTGCTTCTATTGCACCCCTAGAGGAGTGACCATAAGACCTCTGTTGGGGGCCTTGGCTCTGGGCTTGTCCTGTATGTTTGCCCTTTCACAGGCACAGCTCTTGGCTTCCCCACAGCTCAATGAGAGGTAGAACATGGAGCTCCACTGCCGGGCCCTGAGTGGGTGGTAAGGCCAGTTCCTGCCAGAGGTAGCTGTGAGACTGGACAGTCACCATATGACATGCATAGACTGCCTGCCATGCACAGTTGAGCAGTGGTGGCCCCACACTTGTCCTTTGTAGTCATAGGCAGAACAGCAGCACACAGGCAGTTTAATGGGTGAGAAAGTATACCAGAGTGCAGAACCTTGGGCATGTGCATACAGCACATGCATGTACATGCACACATGAGCCTGCTACCACTGAACTGCTGTAGCCACCAGAACCTTGGCTTCACTGCTGGTGAAAACCCTCATTTTATAGCCAGGAAACCAAAATACAAAGGGGTGAAGTGACTGAGTGACTGTCCAGTGTCACCCCACGCTAGTGTCCTGACCCACCAGCAATACTTATTTTAACCCTGTTATTCTGGGTGCTTCTCTGGCCTGAACAGAAAAGGATCCCTTCACTGTCCTGAGGATGCTCACAGATGTTCATGACAGGAGGCCTGAGCCCCTCTAACTGTTGATGAGTCCCCTCTGCCTGGTTTCTTTCCCAAACATACCCCTTCCCCTTGGGAGCTGTGGATTGCTGCCTCCTCCAGCCCTTCCTAACATGGCTCTCCCCTGTTCTTGGGGTCCCTCTCCACCTGACTGACCCCCTGCCCTATCCCCAGGTGGCCAGCCTGAAGAAGCAGCTGAGCCAGGAATAGCGGCAGCAGCAACAGGCCCACGGTGACCAGTCCTTCTGGGCCAAGCAATGACCCCCACTTTAGTCTCCTTCCCAGGCCCCACTCCCATGTCCCTATGTTGGGTAGCCTGGGCTACCTGCTGCCCTGACCTGTCATGGCAGCAGGCTCTGAGGAAACTTGCTAAGGCCCTGGACTTCTGGGATGACTGGTGCTGTGCACACTGTATTGGAGGGGCCAAGGCCAACAAGCATTGGCGTGCTGCTATAAAGAGGGTGCACATATAGGCAGTCATTGTCCAGAGCAACTCCTTCCTAGGCTGCAGAAGTCCTCCTGCCCATGGGGACCTCAACCTCCAGCTAGGCTAGGCCACAATACGATGCTGGTCATTGCTCTATTGTCCCCTTCCCATGGTGGGGAGCTGGAGCACTGTCTGCTTCTCAGCTCACACTGGGCCAGGGACTCCATTTCCAGCTTGGATGTACTATTTTGGCTAAGCCCTGGCAGCCAGGCCTTGTCAAACTGGCTCCCTCGCCACAGGCTGCATTCCATGCCTTCAGCTCAGTAAACACAGGGAAACACGTGGAAAACATTTCCACCAGCAGGAGCCAAAAACACAATGTCCTGCAAGGCCAGCTACCACACCCCATGTCTAGAGGCCACAGAATCTTCCACATCCAGGAGCTACAGTCCCGGCATGGTGGCAGGTGGCTGGAAATGACTCAGATGCAAGTCCCGTGACTCACTGGCCACAAGGGGCATTGGAGTGTGAGATATGAAGTTGTTCCAGAGCTGTCTGCTTCTCCACCAAAAATCCTGGAAAATGCGAGTGGGAATCCAACTCTGTTTGCTACAGAGACCAAGTCTACCATCTTGCCAGGGTGGCTAGCCTGTTGGCATTTTTATGCCTTTCATTCGGCGTTCATCAGGGTGGTTTGTCCTCTTTCTCTCTAGTCTCTTTGGGCATTGTAAGTGGCACATTTCCAGTATCTCTGGGGTACCAGCCAGCCTGGTAAATTCCTGCATGCACCACAGCATACAGGTTGTCCTGTGGCTTGTGCCTCTGCCAGGGCCCCCTAAAGCATCTCTGGGGACTCTGGCATGAGCAGGAAAAGCCAGAAGCTCCTGGACCCCATCCAGTCCCAATCATGTAGCTATGGCCCAGATACATAACAGCCTGACAGTGTACTTCAAGATCATCAGGGATTTAAAATCTGCCATCCTATCAGACCTTTGGTTGAACTTAGTAACCACATGCTACAGAACCTACGAGATCAAGATGGCCAGATAGCTTCATTCTATCCAGCAAGTACTCTTGATCACTGATAGCTTGTTAGGAAGGATCCTGAAGGTCTGCCCAGGCCCTTGAGGAAAGAGGACAGAAACCCATCCACAATGGCTGCCCTGGGCAAAGAAGTTGGTGGTGGCATGTGCCAGATGCAGCCAGCACACATTGACTGCATATTTGGGATTTCTAAACATTAATTTTTTTTAAATATACACATATCACTTAATGACAGAAATATATCTGAGAAACGTCATCAGGCAACTTTGTCATTGTGAAACATTATGGAATGTATTACACAAACCAAGACCTATATGGCATGCTTGCCTGAAGCATTGTTACACAAGAAAATAAAACCTAGCATGAGACATATAAAGTTCATGGCACTATATGTAATCCAAGACCCAGAGAGGCAGGGGGCGCCTGAGCCATTCCTTTCTCCACCCAGCACATGGGCTTATGATGGTTACAAGGAGCGTGCTGCTTCAAATACAGTTTCCCAAATGCTTTACTTGACATGATGTCATCAGAGTTTTCCCCACGCCATTAAAAATACCCCAGAAGGATGACTTTATCTGCTGTGGGATGCCCAGGGCTACTGTGCCCTTCGTATGTCAGCTGCCTCAGCCCTCGGGAAGCAGGGAATGGAGCTATCTCTGCGGGGGTTGGTCCCCAGGGCATGTGATAGAGTTCACACATGCATGTGTGTTCAGCCATCTGGTGCCTCAAGTGGAATCAGAGGCCTCCACAGGCCAATCCCTGCCTCCAGTGGGCAGAGGGGGTAAGCATGGGCTCTCAGGAGACAGGAGAGCTCTGCCTGAGCCCCTGTATCAACCTCTTCAGTTAATATTTGCTCAAATAAAGCAAGGGTGGCCATCTCGGGAGCACATACTGAGAGCCTACTAATTGTTTCCCCAAGATTGATATCAGAAGGCCAGCATAGGTACTGAGGTTGGCAGGATTCATGTGCAGGTGATATGCATATAACATTTCTCCCTTCTCTGCCTAGGTGGACTGTTCGACCTCACAGGTTTGTGGGCTGGGGTGCTTTTCAGGAGCTGGGCCCCACCTGCCCCTGGCCCTAAAGGCCTCCCCCACTCCATCCTGGAACTGGGGAAGACTCACTAGGAGTGGGGCTTCTGGCTATGCCACACAGTGGGAAAAGCTTCTGCAGGGAATATGTGCTCCTTTAGACATCTCCAAAGGGAAGGAGGAGAGAGTGGGAGTGGGCTACAATCCCTGGCCTGCTCTGTGGGACCAACGCTGACTAGCCCAATTCTGCCACCAAGCACAGCAAGGAGAGTGTTTCCTAGCTTGACCTGCACGGACTCCCAAGGCCTGTGCATCCTGTGGGTGGCTCTGGGGCTCCCCCATCCAAACAGGCACACATACTCAGGCCCTAAATTAAAGTGTCACAGGCCTCTTGGGGAGCTCAAGTTTCCTGCTGCAGAACATGAGCCTGCTTGATAAAACGATTTTGGTTTTGATAAATGTGGATTTTCTGTGGCAGAGACAAAGGCGCCCTTGAGTCCAGAGGAGAACCTAAAACAGCACGTTGCTGAAAAGTATTTCCTGATAATATTTTTAGCACCTAAAAAAAAGCAATTTTTCTCTCCTTTTGCCTGTGGGGTTGTGGGTTTTGTTGTTTTTTTTTTTATTCTTTTGGTGAAATGAAATGCCTAGCAGCAGTGGGGCCTGTGTTAACCCCCCATCTCCCAGACCTGGCTGAAAATCTGCACAGGGCACCACCCACCTGGGGATGCAGGTGAGCACTGCCACTCTCCATGGAGATCAGAGGGAGCAGCCTACTGCTGGATCTCTGCCCAGCTCTGAGATGCACCCTGGTAACCCCATAGGTGCTCAGGGGTTTCCTCTGGGAAGAAGTCAGGCCCCTCGTTCAGGCCCACCACTCCACCGTGCTTGAACAAGCAGGCTTCACTCGGTGCATTTGTTGAGCACCACTGTGTGCCTCGGAACGTGCTGAGACCTGAGGCAACCCAGAGGTCCCAGGTAGACCCAAACCCAAATCCAGAAACAGTCTCTGACTAGGCTCCCTGAGGCATGCTTTATCCCTCAGAAGGTGGCAGTGCTGAGGAGACAACTGTGGTTCTGACAGCCTGCTCAGAGTTGCAGTCCTGGCTGGGCTGGGCACTGAGGGTAGAATAGGAGTGTGTGGTGGGAAAGGACGAGGTTGCATAGTACTGAGGCCCGCTTGGTTTCCATGGGCAGGAAGGCACATTTTGCATGGCCCTAAGTTGTCACCCCTGGAATTGATGCTGTCACCTACACTCTTACATGATTAAACCAACAGTGGAGGAGATGAGCGTCTCAGCAGGCTCCCAGCCCACCACAGAGAAGGGAAAAGCTGCCAAGCTTTTACAGAAAAAAAGACAGACTGGAGGACATGAGCTCTTGGGTCCCCAGCATGGTGTCTGTCCTGGAGACTGCAGCTGGTGCTTGGCCCTGACTCCAAGGCTGGAAGGTTGTGACTATCATTGTAGTGAGGCTGTTGAGCACAGGACTTGTGGAAGCTGGGAACCCCTGCATGAAACAGAGTACTCTGTGCTGTACCTTAAAAATAACGTGATGCCCCTTGCTCTAACTAAAACACAGCACATGAGACATCTCAGGAAATACATAAAAACAGTCAAGCATAAAACCACCAGAACCTTGGTGGCGGCAGCTGGCATCTTGAGCTTTTCTGCTTCTCTGTCAGAAGTGTTTCTCGTCTTTGGGGATCTCAGAGTTGACTTGTAGTCACATGTCACCCAACAATGGGATCTGGGAACAAACAGGTGGGTGGGGACTGAGGTCCTAGGAGTCCAATCCCTGCAATGGGCCTAGGAACATAGAAGTGGACCAGAATGCAATGTTGAGGCAGGACATCCACTTACATAAGCGATGCCCAATATGAACAGGAAAAAGGACTGGCACACCACAGGCTGTAGACACGGACTTGGGACCCTGCCACCTCCTGTCAGGTCTAGCAGCACCTATACACTTGTCCCCAGGAACTGAGTGGCTAGCCTACCCCATGCAGGGTCTACCCATCATTTGGGGACTGTAATGGGTCTCTGATCCTTCCAAAAACCCCTTACACAGGGGGAAAGCTGTTGAAGTCTTCAGGTCTCCCAGGCCTAGGGTTCACCCTCACATGAAGTTAGACAGGGAACCCTAGAACCAGCTTCACCAGGTAGCAGAAGCCAGTTCCCTAGGTTAGGGCTGAGGTGTGGCTACACAGGGTTCATCTAACTGCTGCTGGGCCAAGTGGCCCAGACTGACACAGGGTGAAGCCAGATGCAGTGGACAAGACAGGACACCCAGGAACCCTGTTCATTATATAGGTCAAGCCTTCGGACAACAGGCCAGCCCAAGAACTGCTCTGCTAGCCCAGGTGCCTCCTCTGGGCTGCCTTTAAGCTGGTGGCTGGGGACGCCTAGTCCTCACCTCACCGATGCCCAAACGCAAGGGAGCTACAGGGGAGAGAGGGCGGCGGGCTGGATGGAGGTCCAGGCCAAGCCAACCCTGCACGAGGCGCCTGGGGCCAAGGGGTCGCTCTCCCGCGCCCTCGCGCGGGGCCCAGCGCTTCAAACGCCGCTAATCTGCATGGCTCCGCCCGTCCCCGCCCTCCCGGGTGGCCGCCCGGACCTGCTATTTAAGCTCAGGCCCCGGGGGCGGGCCGGCTGTCCGCGGTCCTGCCTCGCGCGTGGGTCTGCTGAGCGTCCCGCGTGCAGCGGAGGCCGGGAGCCGAGCCACCGACGGCGCGGCCGGCCCTCCGGTGACCGCGGCCACCTGCCCAACTCCAGGGGGCGCGTCCCCCCGCGTCCCGCGCTCGGAC